AATTTTTTCACGTGTTATAAAGCGATAGGGTGTCGCGCGACTAATATAATTACGATCAAATTTTATTCATGGGACCCGAAAAATAATTTAAAGTTAGTTCAATAAAAATATATTAAATTTAATACGGGACAAAATTTAATTGACTCGAAATAAAATTAGACCCATTAAAAAGAAGACGTGTGACGTGATATAGACCACACATTTAGACCATATATCAGTGTTATCAAAACTGGATCAGACCGGTTCAACCGTGAACCGGGACCTTGATCGATTCGATTCCGTAATTGGACCACTTAAGGAATAAAATCTACTAAAAATCAAAAAATTGAGTGGTTTTTTAAAAAAATCGTGAATCGGCGGTTTTATAAAAATCGGTCAATTTAATGCTAATTTAAAAATTAAATTACATAAAATTAAAATCTTAATTAAAGCTTCTAGAATCTGGATCTTTTATTGCCCTAATCATTGAACTGTTGTCCCGGGCCTCCAAGTGATTGTGACCAAGCTCCAGCGATCACCACCAAGCTACTACAATCGATTACTAGGAGACTGCGACCAAGGCTCCAACGACCACCACCACTAGGAGACTGCGACCAAGCCTCCAACGACCACCACCACTAGGTGACTGCGACCAAGGCTCCAGCGACCACCACCAGGCAACTACGATTAGCAACCACTGAGATCACCGACCAACGAACTCAGGCAAGATTTTCTTGATTTGGGCTTCTTTTTTTTTCATTAAATCTACAACAATCTTTCAAGTTCTTCCATTTCTTGATGAATCTTGATATGAGTATTTGTTGCTACTTTCATTCCTTTTGCGGATTGGTCTTTTGCAATCTATTTATCTAGGGTGTTCTAATTAGACTTCAATTTTTGGGGAATTGGGGTTGAGGAACTGGGGAATTTGGAGGATGTTAGGCTCGGGTATGAATTTGATTACCACAGTGATGGGATTTGGGATGAGTGCCACTTTTATTGTATTTGTCTACACTAGAAATTTGATTTTCAATTACAAATTGTGTTCTTGTAATAGTCCTTATTGATGATCTTTGTTTGTGATTTTGATCTTCAGTGATTTTGAATTAAAGTTGCATTTTGATCATTAGTGCTGATTTGGTTGTTTATCGAATTGCAGCCATAAGAGATCATTATGTTTTATAATTTTATATATATATATATATATTTATTATGTGGCTAGTCTGACCAGTGACCCACTGGTTGAGCCAATGCACCATTGACCCCGTCTTCTAGCCGGTTCGATGATCGGTCCAATTCTGATAACATTGCCATATAGAAAGTCTTCCACTTTCTTTTTTCTTCTCCAGTAAGCCTGCCGAGAGAGTGAGAGAGAGAAAAGTGGGTTTTATTTTTTTCTCCTTTCTTCCTTCTTAGATTTACAAAGATCGAACCGTTTGATCGCTTTGAGCTAAGAATTAAAGTTGCTCTGCGCAACGAGAGCTATGCAACCATACCAAATATTTGCATTTTTCTCCAAAAAATATCAAAAAAGAGAATTTAGGCCTAAGGTTTTGGAAGCTAAATTCAAACTTTCCTTGGAGTTCTATTACGTGGGCTCACGCTATAAGAGGTAGGGTTTCCCCTATTTAGATGTAATTTCAACCTAAAATATGACATATGAAATGGGTAGGCTAAGGATGTATATCACATGTTAGGTCTTGACTAGTGTAACTAGTGGGTCAAATATAGAATTTATAATTAACCTTGTAATTAGTAAAATCCTATTATAATTAACTTAGTGTAAGTTAAGGTTAGTGGTTTAAAGTATGTTAATTGTACATTATCATAACTTGATATTTTAATGGCATATCAAGTTTAATAAAATTATTAGCTTGTTATGTGATTATAAAATAATATGTATGTTAAATAATTTTTTTAGCATATGATTAGTGTGGTGGATTTGTACTTATGTTTATAAAATTAATAAACATTTTGCCATGTTGGAAGTAATAAACATACTAGTTTGTGTAAATTGATGTGCCCTCTAGGTATTTGTTTAAATGCCTAGGTGAATACAAATATGTTAGTTGAGTTGATTATATTACGTAACATTCTTGGAATTGTGTTAAAAATGTCATTATATTGCATTCATTATATAATGGACATTGTAAATAGTATCAAAGGCAATTGCACATTATATTGCATTATGCATGTGTTACACTACATGCATGGGCATTAACATGAGTGGGAGAGTGTGCATGGTATGAAATTAATCACCATATAGGTGGTTGATCGTGGGCTCTTGAAAGTTGCACCAAGGTCCAGCTGAGTCATACGAAAAATTAAATGGATAAATGTGTCGGGTATAAGAAGAAGGACTAGATTTTTCATCGGGTGTAAAACCCATTTACTTGGTTTATACACTTTTCGACAGTGCAATTCCAGAAAAGTGTAATGACAAAAACGAAGTCGCAAATGGGGATGTCCTGAAAATTCGTTGATGGTGTGGAGTCCTATTGGTGAAATACTATAAATCATCTCCCCACAACGACACAAGAAAATGAATTAATTAGTCATTAAGTGTACATAACACCAATGACGGGGGCTTAGAATACCTGGATACATATGCATGACATTGCATGTATTGTGGAAGCTCAGGATGAGGCTCGTTGTTGATATTGCTTGCGTGAGTCTCATCTCATGGCATGACACGATTTATAGCATTTGTTCATAATAGACATATTTGAATGAATGTATGAAATGATTGTCGTATGTGACATTTCATATGTATTTGGGTTGAGAGGTATTCTCTATAGGAGTTACCCTATTGAGCGTTGGTTCACCTTTTATGGGAACAAATTTCAGGTACACCACAAGCTTTCACCAAAGGCCCTCCTACTGGTCCTCTTTGACGAAAGAGCCGAACTGTGGCTCTTATTTTTTATGTCGTAGTCCTTTGTATATATTTACTTTTGGCCTAGTATAATTTTTGTAACAAAAACTTGTTTATATTTAAAAGACATGTATATGTGAATCTTTTGAGACATTTATTCTTTTATGAATGAATGTACGTAGTGATGATGATTATGATAGTATCCGATACTATGTAATTGAGTATGGATGAATGTACCCGGTATGACCAATGTTATATGATTGCACATGTTGCGTTTTAGGTAGAGCTTTTCATACAAAGAAGACTCTGCCCAAATTTTGTTGAGTTATGAATCCCGGTAAATAGGGCACAACGGCATGATATCGAATTGTACAGTATCCAAAAGTATTTCGCGAGTTGATGGGTAATCAATAGTATAATTACGAATACCTGAATTTTGGGACATCACAATAGTAATTTAACATGTATAGTAGTTTACTTCTTCTTATAGATATATAAAATTATATGCAACTATACCAGTAATAAATGAGTTTAAAAGAATTTTAAAATTCTTATAAAAGAGTTCAAAACAAGTAGAAAGTCAAATAATAGTAATAAACAAAAATTAAATGAAAGTATATAAGATGGTATAATTATAAAAATTAGATGAAAGTATGTACGTGGGTATAATTGATTTTATTATAATAATTAGGGATAAAATAGAAAATTAAAAAAATTTGCAGATTTTGACTTTTTTAAGTAGTATAAATATACATAATTAAGATTTTAGTTAAGTAAAAAGACTTTATTAATGTGTGTATTTGGTAATATGTTGTTCAACAAGATATATTGCTATATTTAATGACTTATGTATAATGGATGTTTTGGGATAATGAATTTTAATTTGTATTTTGTTGTATGAGATATTATAAAGCTAATATTTAGGATATGACTTGAAGTGGTTATCAAACATATTTTTTGTTTTTATTTTTATTATTTGGTAAACACAAATGACTCCAAAACATATTTTCTATTTTCAATTTTTATCATAAACAAAATAAAAATTGTTTCTGTTTTTAATTTTTTTAAAAATATGAAAACAAAAATGTTACCAAACAAACCCATAATTATTTTAATTGGTAGTTTAGGAATCATAAAGAAATCAAGTATAAACTTTGGGGGTATAAAATATAATTTACTCAAAAATAAAAACAGTTTGTCCATTCTTTTAGGTAGCTTTTGGTAACATAGTGTTTGTCTTTTTTTTTTCTTTTTTTTTTTTTTCATTTTTTGCTACCAAAAAAAAAAAATAATAACGAGTTTGGGATGTGTACAAGGCCAAAATATGAAAACATCAAAAATAATATTTTTAAAAACATCAAAAAAAAAAAAAAAAACACGCGTGCGTCTCAACCCAACCCTTTAATGAGGTCTTACCTTCGAATCATGTTAACACTAAAATTTACGACTTTTGGTTGAAAGTATAAAAGCTTTTTTTTTTTTTTTTTTTTCTTCTCTTTCCCTCATCTGTCTTTCTCTGTCTCTCTGTCTCTCTGTCTAATCCTCTTTCTCGTTGGTTTCTCTCTTTTGAACCCGAAGCCAAAGACAAAGAAATCGAAGATGAAATCAAAATCCACTTCTCTCTCGCTCATTTCCCTCTTTGTCCTTAATTTTATACCATATATACATAGATTGAGTTGTGAGTTTATATGATGGAGGTTGGATTGCGGGTGAGTTTCAGTGGTGGAGGGGGTAGGTTTAAGTGGTTGGATTGAAGTTGAGTTTCGATGATAGATTTCGGTGGTTGTGATGATGAGTTTCAGCGGTTGTAGGGGTGGGTTTCAATGGTTAGGATGGTGGATTTCAGTGGTGGACGTGAGTTGTAGGTTTTGGTAGTAGGGTTAAGGGTGGTTTCGGTGGTGGGGTTGGGTGGTCAGTAGGGTTGGGTGTTGGAGTTTGGATGGTAAATTTTTGGTATACTACCAAATAAATTTTTTATTTTTATTTTCATAATTTTTGAAATATAAATAACTATCGAATATATTTTATATTTTTAATTTTTATCATAAAAAAATAAAATTTATAAAAAAAACGTAAAAACGAAAATGTTACCGAAACTCAGACGAAATTGCCCGCATCTTTACTTCCTTATCTTGACCGAGTAGTGCTAGCCGTTCCTCTAATAAGCGGGTGAGGGAGGGAGAACCAGTGGACCATCCTGAAGCCTCTTCATCGGCTCTTATCGAGCTCACAAAACGATCAGGTACCTTTCCTCGAATTCAATTTGTACTAGCATTTAATTCTTGATGCTTCCTTTTGTTTTCTGCTACTATCATGCCCAACCAATGCTCTCTTTCTCTTTCTCTTTCTTTCTCTGTATGGATATCATATGTGATAGTAATGAACGCTCTTACAACGCTGCCCTTTTACTGAACTAATGTTTTTAGATATTATTTTTTCTGGGTTTTGTATCCTAATTTGCTTAAATGCTTTTGGGTTGGTGGCATTGTACCTCGTGTTTGTCTTGCTTCGTTTACACAAGTCTTCCTTAATTTGGAAAAAAAGGGGAAACCATCACGAGTGCATTATCTTGTCATGAAATTGTCTTCTATCGTTTTTTTAGAATGCCGATCACTTATGAGCACATAGCTTTTCAAGGAACAAAGCATTAGGCATTACGTATGCCATGTGCAAGTGCTAGTTTCTTCGGAATTGGTTTGTTCGTTTTTCAGCTTGCTAATGTGTCTGGACTACCATGTATTCCTGTTAAGAAATATAGTTTCGCATGTCAAAGCAATAGTTCACTCTCAGGGGCAGAGCCAGCATTTCACATTAGAGGGGGCAAACTATGATCGAAAAAATTTTCAGCTCATTCATCGATTTACCCAAAATACCATTAAATTTTTAACTTAAACAAAATATAAATAAAAAATCATAAAATAATCTATGTTTCGTACATTTCAACTCAATTACATATTAAAATAGAAGACGATATTATTTCAAATCTTAAAATTTGTATATAATGAATTGATGAGAAACTAAATTTTTAGTAATTTTCTTCAATGTACAAAACCATATTATCTGAGATAAAATTATTATTCATTTTATATTGAGAAATCTAGTTAAAATCATCATTTACTTTGTTGGTGTACTCGATCCATAAACTAAAACATTATTTTTTTTTGGAGGGGGGTAATGGGTCACTAACTTATCAAAAATTGAAAAAAAAAACTTAAGACTATAGTAAACATTTCCAAAAATTAAGGGGGGCAAATGTATTAAAATAAACAAAACTATCATCCTTAACAATAGGATTCAAAAAATCAGGGGGGGCAAGTGCCCACCCTCATTCCTGTGTGGCTCCACCCTTGTTCACGCTTGCTTATCAATGCAGCGACTCTCTCTTCTTGCTTGTGTGTAACAAATTCATTGGCACCGTATGTTGCCTTGCTCTAGTAGCATTTTCTCCTTGTTCTTTCTGTGACTCACAATTTTTGGCTCATGACAGAGACACAAGGCATGGGCAGAGTAGGGTAGAATTGCGTTATGTGCCGTCCATGCCACTGGTACAAACCGAACCCCACCTGCCCAAGGTTTACCTATTCTTTTCCATGTGTGCAAGGCTTGTATGATATCTATGGCTGCGTGTGGTGCTTCAGGGAATTGTCACACCGTCCACATACCTCATCAAATTTCAAGTTTACTTGGTCAAACTTTAGCATTTTCTGATGGCTTTGTGATTAAGTTTCTCATAAATAGCAACATTTTGTGTTATCATTTCAGAAAGTTCACTCTTGCATTTTATAATGGCCGATGGATTCAGCCCATTATGATTTCTCAAGCAATCCAGCTATCATGTGAAAAGAATGATTTGACGTACCTGGGCGTAATAAATTGATTCAGTGGGTGGTCAACTATTGGAAATGGTTTTTCTCATGTCTCTGACAGAATACAGTAACTTGTGGAATGCAGAAGTCAAGGTGATTCTATCCCTCTGTAACACATGCATAACTGTCTTTTTAATTGTTCTTGACATGTAATAAGACACAAGCACAATAAATCATCTGTTAGTCAAGCATATGAAATTTAATGTTTTGCTACTGCTTTTGTAGAGCGTTAATGAATACCATTTACTATGTTATGTGGATAAGTAGAGGTTTCTTCTCACCTTTGAAATGAAGCTAAAGTTTGAGATTTTGTTTCAGTACCTATGGTATTATTAATCTTAGAGTTATCAAAGAACAAAATTGTCCTATAGTAACATTAGCCATCTCTTTTAGGTAAGCCTGCCCCTAGCTTTCCATGTTTTATATTAGGTGGAGTAATGTGCTCTTGTTGCTATTCAGCATGCAAAAACACATTCCAAGTAACAGTGGTTAGGCTGTTGACTTCTTGGTGTTAGCAGATGCCTAATGGGGGAAACTGCAAGTGTAATTGTTTTTTAAAGGGGAATGTCTCGCCTTCATGTGATATGCTTTGGAGACCCAGAGCTGAAATTTCTCTATCAGTATCTTTACCTGGCAAGCAAAGAAGAAAATATTTTGTGTGGAATTCATGGACTAGATCCTATAAAAGAAGGCAGCCGGCTCATATGTTAGGGTTTTGGATGGGGGAGACATGGCTTACCACACGGCCTCTCATCTCAGCCACATCTCGAGGTATTAATGCTATGATAGCACTTTGTATATCTGGTTTCCTTTACTTGATATATTACTGAACACTCAGATGGTTCCAGTGATTTGACAGATGAAGACAAGATTTTAGAATGCTTTCATAGTGATTCTTTGGTCCACAAGCAAGTCCTGACTGATCTTGCAGTCAAGGGAATAATTTGCTCTGATAAAAATGCTGCATTTGTTAAATGCTCACATTCAAGGAGAACATCTTTAGAGAGTGAACAGCCTCTTGAGGACCCATGGCTACTACTCCAGTCTGCTCCCTTCTCTGAGTATTTTGCACAGTCAAATGCTTCTCGTGGTTTGACCGATGAAGACGAGATTGTGAAATGCATTAATAGTGTTCTAGAGCCAAAGCCCTTAAATGAATTCATGTTCGAGGTCGTATCCTCTTCTGCAGATACTGTTGCTACTATTAATAAAAGCTCTGATCTTTCTAGAACTTCATCTCAAAGTGACCACCCTGTGGAGGAGCCCTGGTTATTCCAATCATCTCTCCTCTTTTTTGAATCTAACATGAATGTGGGTTATGATTTGTCTGAGAATGAAGGGCCTGTTAAAGATGAGGCACTTCATCATGATCAGAATCAGCAAGTTCCAGAAAAGCTGTTACCTGATGAAGAGAGTAATGCAGTTTCACAGGACTCTGTTTCCACAGTTATACTGATTAATTCTTCCATATGTACCATGCAGAGGATTGCTGTTTTGGAGGATGAACAATTGGTTGAATTATTATTGGAACCTGTGAAAAATAATGTGCAGTGTGACAATGTATATCTAGGAGTTGTCACAAAACTAGTTCCCCACATGGGTGGTGCATTTGTAAATATTGGGAGTCCTAGATCATCTCTAATGGATGTAAAGTCCAATAGGGAACCATTTATGTTCCCTCCATTTTGCCATCGTACAAAGGAAAGAAAAGTAAATGGTGCTGTGTCTCTGAAGCTTCAAGAACATCAAGGAATGACAGAATATGAACACAATTCTAATGATGCTGACATCGTTGATGAGACTGGGGAACATGAAATCGAGGATGATTTGGTGCAATACTTGCACAATGGTTTTGAGGAGCATGAAATTGATGATGACTTTGATGATCCAGAAGTACTTAAGGAAAATGTAAATGGTAGAGTAGCTTTCTACAGAGATGAAGCTGGTTTTGATAGAGATTTGGATCAGTTAAGTGGAAGTGTGCACCATCCTGATAGTCACGTCGTCAATAAATTTCTTCCTGTAGAAACAGGATGTGCTCATGATTCACAGCCTTCTCATCTCCAAGATATGAAAGATGGTAATGGTGCATACACAGATGAAAGCAAGTGGGCCCAGGTTCGCAAAGGCACTAAAATAATAGTTCAAGTTGTTAAAGAGGGATTGGGTACAAAAGGCCCCACGCTGACCGCATATCCAAAGTTAAGAAGCAGATTCTGGGTAATTCTTTTTCTGTGTCTTTGTTTACTCTCAATTTTTAATTTTTGTTCTTCTTAACCTGAGTTGTTGATTGTAACACTTACTTCGATTTGTTTCTGTAATCCTGTGGCTTGCAGATTTTGATGACTTGCTATAATAGGATTGGAATTTCAAAGAAAATTTCTGGTGTTGAGCGTACACGCTTGAGAGTCATAGCAAACACATTGCAGCCTCAGGGCTTTGGTCTGACCGTAAGGACTGTTGCTGCTGGTCATTCTTTGGAGGAGTTGCGGAAGGACTTGGAAGGCTTGCTTTCAACTTGGAAAGCTATAATGGAGCATGCTAAATCTGCAGCTCTTGCTGCAGACGAAGGCATAGAAGGGGCAGTTCCTGTTTTGTTGCATAGGGCAATGGGACAAACACTCTCAGTTGTCCAGGATTATTTCTCTGATAAGGTGACAATTTTCGTAGAGTTAAGTTTTTGCTGCTTCTTGGACTTTGCTGTGCTCAAATGTTTTACTGCAGATTAGTTATCCAAAAAATCATTCTATTCCCCTATTGTTCTCTTTGATGTAACTAATGTATTCTCTGTCATATGGCTTTGTCTTCAGGTCAAAAGCATGGTGGTTGACTCTCCAAGGACATATCACGAGGTTTGTGACTCAAAATTCAAAGAGAAGTGTATGTCGTTAGGGAACTTTGACCACGATGACATGTATGTGTAGGTTATTGCGGCATTTGAATCAGGATTGCCTATGTTTAGGGTTTCTTTCACATGTTTGGAAGGTGATAGTGGGAGTGGGGTATTTCCACCCATGCTGTAAATGAGGATAATACATCATGTGATGGGTGTTTCACCTAGCCATATGGAGAACTCGTTGTACAAAATGGATGGAGTATGAGCATAATATAGGCATTCGATGAGTAGTGTTGCATAAAGATTTGTGTGTTTCGACTTGAGCTGAGCCAGTTGTGGTTACATGCAATCTTCTAGCAGAATACAGCATATTGTTGTCCTACACGTTAGGTCATTTTCTACCATGTTAAGGATGAACGTGGAAGCTTTTTTTTGGATAAAAAGCATGCAAGCTGAATCTGACAATAGTAAAAAATCAATCTGTATGATCTTCATATTTTTCTCGACAAAGTACATCTGAAATTTTGAGAATATATACATAACATGAGTACCGGAAGACTATCACATATGGAGTTTATCAACTAATCGTGTTAGGAGCTTAGTCTTTTACTTCCAAAATGTGGCCACATCTGTCTTTTGCTCGGGGCATGCAAGGAGTGGTAACTCCTTCCACATTCTAGTTATGGTGTTTAGATGACATTATCTTTTAATTGCTTGTTGGGGTTTGCCATGAAGGAGATGTCTGGCGAGTGGTAACAATTGAACTTTATTTTATTGGCTTCAAAACTCCAAGTATAGTGTTATATTGTCAAATTGTCCGGCTCATGGGCAAATAGAATGTATATACACAGTAAACAGCTAGTTGATGCATCAGTAGAAGGGGATGTTTCCAATTTTTAATGATGTAATACATTTTCAAATACTATGATGACTGAATGTTAACTTGTTTATGGTAAACATACAGGTTACCAACTATCTTCTGGAAATAGCTCCTGATCTATGTGATCGAGTTGAGTTGTATGGCAAACGAACTCCCTTGTTTGATGAATATAATGTTGAGGAAGAGATAAACAATATCATCAGTAAAAGGTGAGAAACATATGACATTGCTTTTTTGCCGCCTCTTCTATTTCACAGCACTATGTGATCTTCTGTAGGTTATATTACATTAAGTTTCTGAGGAAGAGCTATACTATATTATTGCTATAAATGATTTTTGTGATTTAGTTCATCTCGTTTAATCTCCATGTATTCTGTGATGTGAAATTGATGGGGGTGCAAATTTAACCATGATGGCCTAGCTGGAAATGTGTGGTTTTGGTTACAATGTAACAAATCTTGAATTGTTCCCTGAGAGTATACCTCGCTGTTGGTACCTGGTACTATGTTATTTTGAAAGGTTAAGCATACAATCAATGTTTCCTAATTTATTTGATTGACAACTGCAATCATGGCATGAAGCTTGAGCAGAATTTCAAAACTTCTTGAAACTTCACCGGCTCCAAATTTGTGATGGGAAAACATTATTGTTTGCTTCATGCTGTACTGGCAACGGTCTGGTGAAAAGGTCCAGTGCAATATTACAATTGTTCGGTAGTTTTATTAAGAACTTTCTAAGATGACATGCACCTTAAACTCTCATTCAAAAGAAATTTTGCTCTCATTTATTTGATTAGTTAAGGACAAGGACTGCCCTATACATCGCACAGGAACTTTTTGGTCTGCTCCTCATTCTTATGACATCCTTATCTTAGAATAACATTACTCTTCACAGGTCTCATTATAAACATTTTATGGTCGTCATGCAAACATCTCAGCATACTTCCTTCCATCTTGTTTGCAATCGGTACTCCCTTTACTATTTCAACTTTGCACCCTCCTTGCTTCTCTTTCCAATTCAACCTCAGCTTCCTCACTTGGATGGATTATTACATGAACCTGTTTGGTAGCTGTTTAATATATGTACCGTATATCAATAATACCTATAGATATTTTTTGAGCTTGAAGTGATGCAACTTCGGGGATGAAAACACATGTTGCTTGACTCTCTTGATGCCAACACCAGAAGATAGAATTAAAAGTGAATATTTTTTTTATAGGGGCATCATACTTCCGTCAGTATCTTTTATGATTCCTTCCTTCCTATAGAGGCGAGTATGTTAACAGAGTATCATTCCACAGGCATCCTTCAAGTGATGTGATGAAATTGGGAAAGGGAAGTAGGTTTAAGATGCTTTGAGAGGTGACTTTTTCCACATTGTTGGTTGCACAATGTTAGACTTCTTATTTCGTATATTAGACTTGAGCTAATTTGTGTTTGGTAGGATTGTAATTACTCTAATATTACACAGTTATAAATAAGAGAGTGTATGGCAACCTAAACCTAAATACAACATATTATTCTACAAGTAATAACCCGTGCTTGAAGATACGATGAAATATAAAATCGAGCACCCCAAAGAAATGAGCTCACTATATCAAATTGCGGCAACTACTTTTTTTATTAAAAAAAAATAGACAAACTTGTACCTAAAGATATCAACCTTTGTATAAAATTTATTGAATGACTATTAATTGATACATATATCAAAGCCAACCCATAATTCCAAATGTACACATTTAATTAACTTCCATATCAACTCTTATATAAAAAATTGCTGCAACAAAAGTCTAAAATTCAAGCAAAATAGCAAGCTGATTGATTCAATTGATCTTGTGCTTGTACTTAAAGGCACTGTGTAAACAAAAACAAAACAAAACAACAATTATCAAAACTTAGAATTTATTGGACAAAAAGTTAAAACCTCAATATATTGTTAAAAAAATTGGCCATACTTACCCCTAAAGATGGAACTCCAGCAAATTGTCAATCTAGATACACAATTTATTTTCACATCCAAAAATACTATCAAAATTCTCACTATCACATCATAGTTCTGACTAACACAACTATTTACCAGCGTAACCACGTAAATAAATTCCTCATTCCCTTCCAAAATTTGCTTCAGCTGATTTCACATGTTTTGAATCCTAGCCACATGAGCAAGCAAAAGCAACACATAGCCTCATTTGACAACTTAAACGCCCTAGCCTATCCTAATACACCAAGCCCATCATAGGAAAGAAAGAAAAAAATCAAATAAAATACCAAAGAACAATTCAAAACACAATAATCTCATAACGTAAATTAATGAAAAACTTACTTTTAAGGGCGAGATCTCCGAATATAAAGAGAAGCTCTGATCAGATTTGAAACAAAAACAGCAGGTCAGTAAGACTGTTGGCATTTTTTCTTAGACGAATTTTGTCAACTATTTTTTTCAGCGCATGGTGTGTTTGTGTGCAAGTTTGTAAAATTTCAAACTCCTATCTGTTTTAGTGTATACATAAGTCGTGGCACATGCCCAAGCATATCACATGTCTGAAGAACAAAGGTGAAGTTCATACGACTAAACTAAATAATTGAAGCATCACTTGACACCAAAATGTAAACATTCAAAAAAATGGACTTTGAATTGAAAATGTAATTGAAGAATTAATTACCAGTCAGAATATGATTGCAGACAATATTGAGTTCATTGTCTTCAACTATACCTGAAATTAAAAAAAGAAAAGGACTAGAAATAGTGTTGGCAAAAATCTCACCATTATACAAATCGATGATTTACCATTCAAACTTTGCCTAGAAATGTGTTAGTGTGTCGTTGAAACGCTTAAGACAACTGGTAAAGTATCATATATCTATGCTTGGAATAAATGAAATAAGATAAAAAGAATAATGAGAAATTTATATCTAAAGATACACAACCAGTAATTTCTTAGCTTGAAGTGACATCGCAATCAATGACAATTTCACTGCTTGAAGCAAACATTGCAACCGATAACATTACACCAAATCTTAGTTATTGCGGCCACATTGCCACCGTAGGTACTATTTATGCTATTCTCAATTTTACGTGTTAAACACAACAAAAACTCGCAAATATTTTAGCATTAAAACCAAAAGCCAAAACATTTCAGCATTAAAACTACACACATTTCCACAAACATTATAAGCTTTAAATGTTTGTCTGCCACATGTTCAATTCAAACAAAATAAATGCAATTACGAATCCAATTACTCTTAATCTTGAATTCCAAAAAATTTGCATCAAATCATAGCTAACTTAATGACAATTTAATAGCTTGGAGCAACGTCACAACCAATGACATTGCACCAAATTTGCATCAAAGCGAAAGCAACCGAGTTCACAAAATCCACATCAAGTAAAAAAAACATGTTTGATGTGTGCGTGAAAGCAACCTAGCAATAACCCATGCAACACTATATACTACAAAAAAGATCAAATTTAACAAATGAGAAAGAAAAATTATCAAATTGCCAAAAAAAAAAATAAAATTCGAACAACATTTCAATAGATTCATAATTCTTTCATAAAAAACAAAAAATTAATTTTGAGAATCTGAGAACCCCTCTGTTTTCTTTGTCTCTCTGATGCTTTCTCGAGCACCTGCTAACGTACATCAAGACAAAGTGAGTGAGGGAGGAGGGTGTGTGCACTTTGTGTGTTGTGTGCATGTGGAACATGTATGCAAAGGCTTCAAGCCTTGATGCCAATTGGAGTAAACTGTCCAAAAAACCAAGTAAGGTCCTCCATAATGCATTGGGGGATGAAAGAAATGACTTGATTTGGAATGTAAGGATTGTAGGCAGTGGTGAGTCGGGCCGTATTTTCCTTAGGCATTTTGGTGATTCTGGTGGCATTGGTGGATGTCTATTGTTAGAGCTGGTTGGTACTGGTGGATGTCTAGCGAGCGAGCGAGCGAGCGAGCGAGAGAGAGAGAGAGAGAGAGAGAGAGAGAGAGAGAGAGAGAGGTGGTGATTTTCAAAACAAAAAAGAGGGTGCTGGTGGGGTTGGGTGGCGTTGGTGGACAAACTTCTTTAAAATTTGGCAAATTTGTTGCTTCTTTAAAATTTGCAGTTTGTTTATTTCTTTAAAATTTGCCAGATTTATTAAAAAAACTGCATATTATTTTCTCAATTAATGAGATTAAAACAACATAAGATAATGAGGTAGCCTTCAATTGGGCAAAAAGGAAACTGAGGAATTATATAATTGCCTTAAATGTTAAATCCTCCAAAACTCAAGAAAAAAAAAACAGAAAAATGATAAGAGGTGGTGGAGCAACATTACCTTAGCAGAGCCCATGTCACCAAGCTAAATCAGAATTTTTCATGCAATTTCAACATGTTTTCTGTTAGCACTAAGCGAGGAAACTATTTCGAACATAAGGCAACTAATTAACTTAAACTCACAAAAATCATATGGTATCAAACACACCCTTGGCTTTCCTTTAGATGCACATGCTTTCCTTTTGGATGAAAATAACAACATAAAAATCCCAAATGACAAAGACATCAATACACATCCTTGAACTTGAAGATAACATTAGGCTCTGATAGTATTGTGAATTATTAGAAGTTACCATTAACTTGCTCAACGGGCCTGACATATTCATTAGATCAAAAATCAGAATCAAAGTTTCACATATTTTTTCAATCACATAATATTAATCACAGTTAGTTACCCAACAAAATTTCAACATACAATCTCAATCAATTAATACACAATCTCAATCATAATAACCCTTCAATTCTTATTGCATGAAAATAACACAACTTTAAATCAAAACACTAAAAATTGTATTGCAACCCCATATATTGAAAACCCCAATTAACACTCAAATTAAACACTAAAAACTTCCACTATTACATTGGCAGTCCTAGGCTACTCCTGCAGCCCCGAATTGAGCATAATACTAAACAAATTAAAAATCTCATGCTGTTGAAGCCTTGCATTCACAATACTTCATCCATGCCACCACAGTCACTAATCCACTATCGCATCTTCACTGTACAAATGTCACCTAGTAAAATATTATTTCAAACTTAAAGTCAAGTAACTCGTCATACGATAACTAATTACATCAATGATTCAATAACTAAAAAAAAGACATTTCAACAAATGGGTGATGTGCTTAAGCATTTTAATGAACATGTGATGAGCATTCAAGATGCGCCAGTGCAGTCAAAGGGGATTTCCTACAAAACACCCATACTAACATTAAACACCCAAATTAACATTAAAAAAAGCATTAACAAAATTTGTGCTTATTTTTTCTCGATAGCCTGTTTTAGAACTTAATGTGAATCTATTTAAACCCAATAAAAAAAAAACTCTAAACAGTAAGAGAACAAATACCCAACACATAGAGAGGTTAAAATTTGCTGCACATAAAAAACGAAAGGAACAACAACCAATTAATCATTCCTTAACTACAATACTCTGTGAGTATGTTGGATTAATAGAAAACTGAGGAAGGCACCGACTTATAGTTATGATGATGTGTGTTTGTGTGTATGTGCGTGTGTGCTTGTGCAGGAACTTGCAGGTATCTGCGGTGCTTTGTGTGTGTGCGATGTGGGTTTGTGTTTTCTCTCTTTGTGTGTGTTTTTGATGGGTGCATGCGTTCTTGTGATGTGCGTGTGTGAGTGCGATGTGGGTTTGTGTTTCCTCTGTGTATGTGTGTTTGTTGTGTTGCAGAGAAGACAANCGAACATAAGGCAACTAATTAACTTAAACTCACAAAAATCATATGGTATCAAACACACCCTTGGCTTTCCTTTAGATGCACATGCTTTCCTTTTGGATGAAAATAACAACATAAAAATCCCAAATGACAAAGACATCAATACACATCCTTGAACTTGAAGATAACATTAGGCTCTGATAGTATTGTGAATTATTAGAAGTTACCATTAACTTGCTCAACGGGCCTGACATATTCATTAGATCAAAAATCAGAATCAAAGTTTCACATATTTTTTCAATCACATAATATTAATCACAGTTAGTTACCCAACAAAATTTCAACATACAATCTCAAT